ACAGGGCAGGCCTCCAGTGTGGTCCACAATAGCAGGAATATACCTGTGTGAGACAGGGAAGTCAACAGGCAGGAAAGATAAACCAGCACAGCAACTTTACTCTGTGTTCTGCTGCCAGCAGTTACCTCTCCGTATAATATCTGAAGAAATTAGAGTGTTTCTACTGACTCTCAGACTGGACTCTTCCTTGGACCACCAGTATCAGTGCAATACAGAAAACTCTGTGGAACTCACTTCTCAACATAATCCCTAAAGCCCCATCAAGGCCTCTAATTCATCTTCTCTGTAGCAGAGGTGAACATAAACTATGGTCTGCTAGATGACATCTGGAGCATAAAGTCTCTAGCGACCCAAAGACTCTAAACTCATGGGCTACATACACTGAGTTTCCCCAGCACCTGTCCAGCTGGCGTGTGTGGGTTTTCAAAGCAGAAAGATGACTTCAAGTGTGGAAGAATGTCATTCCGTCTCTTCAGTTCTTTCCAATGGAGACAACGAGTGCCACCAGAATTTACACTCAGTCACTACAAACCAGCCAGGCCACTGCCCATTGATAACTGCTAAACATCAACCTTGCCTGAACAGAGCAAAGAGTACAAGATCAAACTCCCATAAACCACTGTTCCTAAAACAGAAAAGATTAATACTGGACTTACTCCCCTGTTGGCTCCAACTCGCTGATCTCAAACCACACAAGGAGGTCGTATTTGCTCACACTCTGGCCCAAGCTGGGTTTGCTCATAGTGTTCAGCTTCATAGCTGGCACTTCAAGGAAAAGAAAGAAAGAAAAAAGAATGGTTTACAAATACTGAACAAGAAAAAGCTTACTTACAGAAACATGCCATTGCAGTGATCCTATGTGTTCTATGTACACATTGTACACTTGCAAAGTGTTGCTTTTAAATCTAAGTTACTAGGCTTAAAAAAAGTTAAATAATGAAAAAAAGTGTATCCAAAAAGCTTGTAAAAATATGCAGTCTCTCTGAATCCACAGAAAGTGTTTCCTCCAATGTACATTAGTTACTTTATAGCTTAACAGCTTTTGATTTATAAATTGCTTAGGTTTGTTCACCTGCAACATTCCTCACCCATAAAATACATTTCCTCTTCCCCAGAAAAGGAAAAAAAAAATATCTAGAACTTAAAATTTCGGTCTTCACTTCTTTATGTTACAAAGTGCTAGTTCCCAGTACCAGTTTAGATAAGAGAATGTGTTCGTAAAAAGGCTGAATTAGACTTATTCCAGAGACATAATCCTGTCAAAGTATGTTTCTGGGCTCCTTATGTTTTGGTATTAGTGATTACTGCTGCCCAGATCCTCTCTAATTCCTTTTGTACAAATTTAGGGATAAACCATGTTAAAAAAATCATGGGATAATGGTAATTCTAGAAATAACCTGATGTTCCTTCGCACATATTTACATCACACCTTTTAGCCATCATTATGTGACTTCTCTTACCTGTTTACTCATTCTATTTTTGCAAATGGGAACAATTTAAAAGTTTAGTTCCTGTGTACTCTGACAGGTATTTTTGTAACTCTGTATTGATTTTTCCTTTTTTTCTCCTTTCACATACTAACCTCATTGTTTTCATTAGGCCAAATAATTATTCTCCTTTCTAGCCTCTCAAGCTCCATTTCACCCTTGCTCAAGACTTCTTTAGGTTCTCTAGCGTCACACCTCTGTGTGTCCCTCAGCTTCCACTGGGACTTAATTTCACATGAACTGGAAGGGCATAACAGTCCTCAGTTAAGAAATGGGCCTTATAGGTATGCCCGTGTTGTCTCTTTTGAAAAATAAAATGTGAATTCTGTTTCTTTTAGGGGTAAAATAGCAGCTACCTTAGAGGGATGGATTTTACAAGAATCAGCTATTACAGCACAACTACTCCATTATGCTAGGTAGCAAGCTTCAGTGTCAGCATTTACTCTTCCCATTCATTACTCAGTGTAGTCACCCTCTCAAACCCAACATATCACGTAGCTGCACATGAACTCATCACAGCTGGACTCAATGCTGCTGACAGCAAGAGGAACATCAAACATGTAAGTCATTCAAGTTTACTGCTAAGCAGAGAAACAAAAGTACGAGAGAAAAACAACATAAAGACATTTAACTAGACATGAAAGCCAGTTTGGGAAGTTCTTATGGACTTGCTCTGGCACAATATTTTTTTTAATTAAAGAGAATACAAATGTAAGTGAGGAACAGCACCATTAGTGGCAAAAAAAAGAAGATGAGCAAAAAGGAAAACTGTATAGAACACAGCAGACAGAATGCTTCTTCTACAGCAAGCTGTTTTTCCAAATGCAGCATCTGTCATCCCACTATCACAAAACTATGCACAGAACACACACACACACACACAAAAAAAAAAATCAGAAGACCAGGAAGTTTGGGGGAATAGATCCAATGACAGAAAAATCTGTGATACCTAACACACTTGACTTTATAGACTATACGGTTTTCTCTAGAATAGCTCTAAACTCCATCACAGCATCATCCTTTCATGACTGCAACCATGGCAGTTTCTAGTCCAAAGAATACTACACGATAAAGGAAAAAAGAATTTTGAAGCATGTTTTGGAACTACTTCTACATCTACCATAGATCAAGTTTGGCTACTAACCATCTCGTTTAGGAGCCCGCTCACTCTGACAACTGGGAACAGGCAGAAAGAGAAAAGGTGGCAGCTGGTCAGCTCCATCCTGGAAAGCAGCCACAGCAGAGGATGCAAGCACGTTGGCATGCTCGGATAGCGTGTTCAGCACATGCACGTTTACATAGCCAGACATAAGGTACCTAATCAACTCAATTTTTCTCTCATGGTCTGCAAACGGAATGGAACACACACAGAAATAGGATGGTAGAAATATGCAGGTGAGAGAAAGCTGAAGAAGGAGGAAATTAAAAGGTGAAATGGAAGAAAAAAAACCACAAGAGTTCAGCATGCATTATTACAATTAAGCAAAGAAAAACAAGGATCATTTCAGCGAGACTGACTCACTAAACAAGAATGTTAGAGAGCAAATAGATGAAGGGGTTAATGAATAAGCAAATTTCCAGTCAAGTGCTCAGTAAGCACTCGAGAGCCATAACCAGATCTCAGGGAACATGGTCAACACCTCACGAATGAAATTCTACCCTTTAATGAACCAAGAAGCACTTCCTGCAAGAGGAGGTTGAAAAGAACACATAAAAAGAAGCCAGGCAGCAAAGAAAGAGTCAATGCCCTTTGCAACATTCACTCCATTACATTTCTTGGTGTCCTGAATAACTTAGGAATACACTACAACCTTCCTTTTCAGCAGCAGACATGTGATGTACAGAATTAGAGAACAGTTCTCACCTGGCTTTGAGAGTGGCATAGGAGGAGGAAAGAATCTTCGGGAAGGCTGTGGAGGGCTATAGAGAAATGAAAAATTATTAACACAGAGGCAGCTAAACATAAAAAATACACACAAATTCACACACACACACCTGCCCCCCCAGTACAGTTCTTCCACCCATTTTTGTCTCCAAGAATATCCTCATATTCCAATGAAGACAAGTAAATATCACTTGTCACAAGGGGACTCAGCACACTTCTCAGACTAACCTATGTCCTCTTTCTATTCTATCTTAATTACTCCTAGCTGCCAGTAAAAAAATAAAGAAAATTTAAAAAAAATACTATTTCCAATTGCTGTACCTCCATTTTGCATAGAAAATGCAGGTAACAGGCATTTCCCAAAATAGCTTACGGAAAAGGAACAAACCTCAGCTGGCATTTCCTCCTAAAACCAGCACATGCTTCCTCTGCAGCTGGTGCCCTCAGTAGGAGGGCTAGCCAGACCAAGCAATCCAGACAATAGCCTCTTCCCTTAAGCTATGAAGATGACACTAGGAGTCCTTTCCCCAATTCAAAAAATTCAAATGCTCTGCAATTTTTGCACTAGTATGTCAAATGGTTGAGAGCCTTCTGTTTCCCCCCTGTCTCACCTCTACCTTTACACATCAGGCACTTGCTCTGCATCTTGGAGTTAAGGTTTACCCAGAACTCACTGAGATCACCACTGAAGTTCTGAGTACAATATTTTATCACCACAGTGTCTGTAGAGTGGATGCAGCTGTATTAGCAAAACAGCTTTCCATGTTTGAGATGGTAGAACAATACCATCACTCAGTAACTGCCAGCACTCTTACCTCAACCAGGAATCCTACTCATGAGGGTGTAGATATATAATTTCAGGAGTACGAACAAGTACTGCCCAAACTGCAGAGCTAACCTGAGCACAATCACAAGCAGCCTTTATATCAGAATGGTGAACAATACCTGTTGAGATCCTGCCCTTGCAGATGGAGAGGATGCTGCTGATAATGTCCAAAGACTTCAAACACAATAGGCTTCGTTTTGATGTACTCCACAAATGATTCTGTCACTTCCACAGCAATCTGTTAGGCAAAGTAAGGAAAGAAAATGAGATATACAAAAAAGAAATCTTATAAGGTGTGCATTTTAGGAGTCTCTATTTTTCATACAGTTTTGTGCCATTCACAGTAAAAGCAATTGCATCCCTTTTTCGTTTAGGCATGAATTTAACTCTCCCATAAAGGAGAAAATATCAGGCATTTTAAGCAGAAGAGGAAGCTTCCTGTAACCAAAGGATTACACAGTTCATAAAAATAGATACATTCAGTTCATCTGAGATTATGAGCACTGCTATTCACATATATTTTATTTCCTGAATTCTAGAGTACTTTCATTGAACATCCTGGAAAGGAAACAGAATTCAAAGGCAGGAAATACAGGTGAAACAGAAGAGTTAAATCTGCCACACGGAATCATCCTGTGTTTTGCTCTCCACCGGGGATTACCTCATTCACCTGATCACTGCTTCTACCGTCCATTCTTTATAATTCCCCTTGCCTCCTTCTCCCATATACCTCTCATGAGTTTAACAGGAAGGATACACAATTCCCAGTGCTAAAACAGGCACTTACTATTCATGTAAGTTTTTACTTACATTCTGAACATGGTAAAACCCAAGAGGAGTCCCTCGACCATTGTTTTTGAGAGGTTCTGTTGAGAAAGCTTCATCATGTCGATGTAAAAAGCTTTAAAAATAAAATAAAATAAAATAAAATAAAACACCATAGCACAGTTTAGTGAAGATTTCCATGCTCTGAACCCAACACTGAAAGCAAACCCATAAATTAATTCTGCTAGAACTTTACAGGGAGTTGAGTGATGGTCTAAAGGTAGGAATATTCTTCTCTTTGGGACCACAATTCTTGTACTTGTTTTGTGGCTTTATTACTCCCATTATTCATTTTCTTTCTTAAAAAACTAAGCAAAAGAACACTTTCAATTCAGAGCGACTGAGTTCCTCAAGGGTCATATATCTTTCATTCCAACTGAGCATATGTACAATCTAATAATGAATTTTTCACTTTAGAAAAGAATATCAAACAAAAACTTAAGATATCTACAACTAGTAAATTAAGAGTCCACTCTGATTCTTAATTCCTTTCTGCAAAACTTTATTCCTTAACACCATGCTAAGACAAAGCAGGTACTGCTCATACCAGGAATTCCAGTAACAGACAAGGTATTTTTCTCTGCAATATCACACTGCCACTGACTTGAAAAGCTCTCAATCAGACCCTCCCTTCCCCACTATTATTCGCACCCCATATCAAAACATTCATTGCCTAATGTAAATAAGGATAAATTCTTACTTGAACTGGCAGAAAATATCTGCATATTCAGGAAGGATGCCGCTGGCCTGTAGCACTGTCACACGGAAGGTAAATACGCTACCCAGCTTCAAGTGACCACCAATTTCCTCAGTGAATCCTTCCATAGTCATTTTTCCATCCAAAGTGGCTGACTTCAAGTCTTAGGGAGACACAGACATCCCACATGAAATAACTTCTTTTCTTCCCCTCCTTTATTTCTTAAAATATTCCTTCAGGCAACAGTTCAGTCCCATCACACATTGTTTTTCTTCTGAGCCTAAACTATTTGCTGATAATGAAAAGCTCCAAATACCTGGGAACAGTTTTTCTGCACAGTTCTTCAAAGTTCTGGAGTAACTCCATCATCTATCATATGCAACCCATCTCCTACCTCTCCCTACCTGTCAGATCCTTGAAGGACACTCAGAACCCCTTAGTATCACTGACTGAAAGTGTCCCAGATTTCCCTTAAGTTCTCCGAAATGAATACATATTTCCCACTTACCAAGCTCATTCATTCTGTTGATCTCCTCTGGAGGAGTGGCAACCTCTGAATTCTGGCCTTGCCCTTCCACAATTCTTAATTCTTCCAATGACAGTCCAGACCGAGTCATTGCAACTGAAGAAAAATCACTCTGAAAAATCCAATGAAATTGCATGTAACAAGACTCCTGAAGTTTCTAGTTTTCCCATCCCCTTCTTTCCCCTGCATTACTTATTCTTCATTTTAAATCACAATCCACTGCACTCAAAGAAACAATTCAATTTTAAGACTTCTTACCTTATCAAAATATTCATTGTCGAAGGAAATTTTAGCTGTGCCAGACTGTCGGATACCGGATCCATAATCTGGGGCTTCTTCATCAGCTAAAAAAACAGGAAAAGAGAAAAAATTATAGAGAGGAGAGGGAAAAACCATCAGAGTTATCTAAATGGAAATTCCAATTACAGTGGAAACCAGTCCATAAAGTAGAACAGGTCTGGTTCCAGTCATTCAATAACAGATTAGAATAAGTACT